ACATGGTTGCTCTCTCGACACGGCTCACACGGATTGGCGAGCGGCAGTAGCCGTGTCAACGGACGATTTTCTATCCGGCGATGCCTTGATGTTTTGTGCGTATAATTGCAAGATGTGCCACGGTATGTACTCCATACAGCTGGCGGGAGGCGCTTCAGAAACAGCCGAGGAGCGGGAAATACGCTCACCAACGGCTGTATATCCGCAGTTGGGCCGCTCCCGCTCACCAAGAATAATTAGCTGGGCAAGAAAAAATTATGCAAACGGAAGTGGCGGTAGAACAGCAAAGCATGCTCTAACTCGTATGCTGGGCATTTGTGGCGAGCGGGAGCGAACAATATCGTCTACACGAGCCATCCTAGCCTATTTACAACCTGCACCTTGGAACCGCGAAGATTGGAAAGAGGTATATACAGCTTCGGTCAGGCACCGAAGAGCGCAGCGAATGCCGTCGAATAGAGAAAGAGTTCTCTCTCTGGCTAGGTCGCGCATAATCTTTCGGAGCGCGTATATACTGTCTCATGCTGTTCTTGAGTATGCACTGAACTTTACCTCTACACGACATTTAGATGCAACATGCGAGTTTGCAAAACCCCCAACCGAATTTGTATATACCGGATACTAAGCATACTATCTCAAGTTTTTCATCAGAAATGACAATGCTTACGGAGACGTATTGTGCCTAGCTTGATCAATTCAAATGAAAATGTTATTATTCCGCAATCATACCGTAAGATGCTATCTGCAACAGTGAGGGACATAAGTGACAGGCTCTGAGAAAACGACCCTTATGGCGCAAATTAGCGAAATACATTTTGTGCGCTAGACCGAAAGTCCTATAAATGCTCTATAGTTTGCCGTTTGTTTCAGGGGCGTAGCCCGTTCCGTTGCGAAGTTATGAGCTGAGACGCAAGTGCCATTCCGCTGCATCTAACGTGAAAAATAGCGTCTAAAGTTGAACTTCCGGTGTCAAATTTCAACCTCCGATCCGTGTTACAACATTACGCGCGCGCGTGCACCCGGCCGCATTCGATAGGTAAACGTAGTAAAGGGGAATTCCCGTAAACGTGACTCCGTAAAAGGTTTAATTATTCCCGTGTCACGTTTCCTTGTAATTCCGCGTAACGACGGCGCGAGTGTCGGTAGTTGCCAGATATATAGATATCCAGGGCCATAACTACGGAACGGAACGGAGTTGGTGCGTCAAACTTGCGCAGATTGTAGACGATAGACAGAGGTACTAGAATACGGGGGAAAACGGGAATCCGTAAATTGTGTCCTTCGCCGCAAAACCGCCGCTACTACAACAATACTACGTGCGCCATAAGGGTCGTTTTCTCAGAGCCTATTATTTATTTATTAGATAAAATCTGGCCAGTACGTTTTAGCTCGCTCTGTTTTTCCGTTTTCTGGCCCATCTTCAATGAAAACATTATTTTTATGATCCAAATGTTCGCCCAGCAAAGATTTCGTTCTTTTTTATTCATGCCATTCGGGTTGGTTCCACTTTTATAGATCGTTCATTTGCCTATGTTTCGTGGCCTATGCATCACCCACTACATCACTCGATTGGTCAACCTTATGAAGTTTGGTGCTGCTCACTGAATGAAGTTGCTGATAATTCCATTATCCCTACAGAAAACATTATATCATTTCTTTTAACTTCACAGCAAAATTATGAATGTGAAGATGTGTTGGTTACTGTACCTGTGCTAGATTAATAAACATTGTGCAGTGTCTCTGATTTAAACCATGTTTACACTTTACATGTTTCCTATCCTCATGCTAAGGGATATGTCATGTTTCGACACTTATCGGTATGGAGGTTTCATAATATTATCTTCATGCTGAAGGATATTTCATGTTTCTACACTATAGTAACTCACGTATGTTTCTTTATGTTGCTAAAATGCTGAGCAGTAGCTACTCAATGTTTCTTTGGCAATTCTACTTTAAAGAAATTTAGAATTGCGTTTCTGCACGTTTCTAATGCATGTTTCTTAACATTTCCATACGTTGCTAACATCATGAGGGAATATCTAATGTTTTTGAATGAGTTTTTCTGTTTCCATATATACATGTTTCTCACACATCCGTGACACTGAAACTCAATAATTTTCATAGTGATATCGTCTGCACGAGCCATCCTAGCCTATTTACAACCTGCACCTTGGAACCGCGAAGATTGGAAAGAGGTATATACAGCTTCGGTCAGGCACCGAAGAGCGCAGCGAATGCCGTCGAATAGAGAAAGAGTTCTCTCTCTGGCTAGGTCGCGTCATAATCTTTCGGAGCGCGTATATACTTAATCCAAACGCATGTGCAGTTGAACGACATACAAAAATCGCGCCCGTTCGCTCCCGCTCACCAATAATCCACTACGCGAGCACGGTATATCCATTTTGCTTCAATGTGCAGGCATGGTCATTCATGCTGTGTCGTTAGCGTCGTGTCTCTCTTGGTGCTCTCTCCGCTGACGTCATGTCACGCTGGGTACGTTTACCTAGACACATTAACCAAAATAGCAAACTCCTTCATATCTGTAAAAGTATATATACTGAAAAACGGTTAGAGTGATGGTTTTACAATCTCGAACGCATGCGCATTTATGACGACGTACGGTCGGGCCAAAGAAATAGGCTTCGTGCGCTCTGCAGCAAAGGGATTGTCGTTGGGACGGGTATATAGCTGCCTGCATCAAGGAAAACGATGCCATCGTTTCATGTGTACGTTTATATTATTAGCATCACCGTGGGCGTGGCATCATCGTCGGAAGTGACAAGTCCACAACAACTTCCTCTAAACCGCGAGTGCAATGTTAATGTCCCCAGATCATGTTTTAAAGGTGATTTCACATCCACAAGTATAGCTGCTTGTGAAAGGGATAGTTACTTTCAAACTTGCAAACCAATTAAATGAAAAATTATTGAGCAACGTAGCTAGTTGATATTCCCAATCCTAGCAGGGCCAATTGCCTACCATGCAGTTTATAATCCTGTTGTCTACAGACCCAGTGGAACTGATACACACTGTGTTTGTGATAAATATTATCGCCAAGTACCTAATCAATGCCGTTGCCAGTATTGGCCTCTAGTGGACAGTCGTGCTGATGAACCGAGCTTGCAAGCAATGATCATGGAGGTATGTATCTACCACAAGAATCCACTGGTATGCATGTTGTAACAACTGTAATGATACTGTGGTGGTAAGAGCTGTGATAAGTTTACCTACCAAGGAGGAGGTAGTAGAGGTGATTAATGTTCTAACTGTGGGCAAAATTCAGAGGCAGGTGGAGGCAGATCAACTTACAACTTCAATTGTGAAAGTTGTGCACAACACGCCTTCTGTAAAAGCAAGTGTGATTCAGGAGCAGGATTTCTAACCAAGAACATTCCAGGTTTATGTCCAGCATGGGCTGCATGCTGCAGAGATTGTTGTGTTAATGAGACACTACACTGAGACAAATAAACATTCATAGCCCAATCCCTCCATTTTTATGCTGTATGCCCTACAGAGCAGGATTTTTATCCTCTGATTATTCTAGCTACTCTCTAGAAACTTGTCAAGAAAAATATGTAGGGATGGGTTAGCTATAAATGACTATAATGTCTCAGGGTAGCTAGGCATCATCTTGTTCCCCTTCTTTTTCATTGGGTGACATCTCTCCTTCAGCACGATTGTGGGTGTTTACCGTTCGATTAAAACACGTTTCACTAATGGAAATGTTGCAGTCCTCAAGTGTGAGCCTGGTGAATGAGCGTGAGCCATGGCAAGCTAACATGGACATTCAGTTTGTGCTGAATGCGTATTCTTGTATCATGTACATAGCCTCATATATCGTGAAGACAGAGAGATCCATGGGTGAGCTTTTGAAACTTGTGGCTGATGAAGCGGATTTAAAATCTCAGTAGAGAAAAGTTGGTTCAGCATTCCTCACACACAGAGAAGTAAGCATGCAAGAAGCTGTCTATAGAATACTGGCGCTGCCCATGAAGCAGTTGAGCAGATCTGTTGTGTTTGTAGATACAAATCAGAATTCCTGTGTTGAAAAACAGTGCATCACTGAGGACAACGATACAAATGTTTTCCAGAAGAGCCTCATTGATAAGGCACAGGCCACAGCAGTTCCATGTTTCTAGTTGAGTTTGCTGCCACATATGTTGTGAAGTATGAGCGTGATGCCATTACTAGCCCCTGAGAGTGATGCCACATCCACACAAATCACACTCACTGATAGATTCAGATGTCTCTGCACACTCTGCCACTCATAGTCAAGGCTGTATTTTTCACAGTAGTAAATCGTATTGGGCCCTATTTACCTATATACATGATCATAGCTACAGTGTTCACTATCACAAATTTACTTACACTTCATATTATGTACACCCATCAGGTACGACTATATACACTTACTTAAACCACTTCTGCATCGCACCAGTCAAGGCTGTATCACAGTGTATATAGCTTTTAGTAAATCACAGTACTTGTTTACCTATTTACACGCTCATAGGGTTCACTATCACAAACTTACTTACACTGTATTTACACTCGTTTGCACTTAGCTAATCCTGTTGTAAACACAGCTTAGACTTGCATGAATGTTATATATATATATGTCACTAAAGAACAGTAAGGAGTGTGTAGCTAGCTACAAAACAGTTCTCCACAATCTTTCCCTGGCCTAGATACAAGGCTGAATGTTTCTGTTCACAACTACATATGCAGGGTTGGGTGCTGTGGAGACATGGTAAGAGACTCCATACGCCAAATTCTCTCTAGTGGCTGGACTGGTTTCAGCCACCCAACGCTGCTGTCGTACATCATCCACTGTTTCATAGACTCCAATGTCTGGGTGACTGTCATCATCGCCAACTGTCTCATAGATTACTGCTCTAGCACTGTAAAGGGAGGAAATCACACTTCAGTAGTAATTAGTCCACTGCTGCTGCAATACTGTGCTATTGACTACTTCTCATCAGAAGGAATACACTGTTCTATAATTACCTTGGATCAGTATAAGAACTGTTTCCTGCAGCAAACAATAACATTAGCTTACAAAATGAGGATCACTTTGTGTGAGAGAATTTTCATGCATGATCAAAACACCCACGCAAAAGTTAACTATATACAACTCTCAAACTTCCAAGTTCTTTAAACTTACTTGTACAGATGGGATTGTTGCACTGTAAAGAAAGACAAAAATATAGATACTCAAAACCTAATACAAGAGTGACTAGCACAAACTACCATGTATAGTAATGTACCTTGTGAATCCGAATGCATGTGGCGGCAACTAGTAGCAGCAGTCCTGGCAATAGAATACCTCCACTGATTGACACAGGAATGATCCAGGCCAGCTGACCCCGTATGTCTGACTCCTGACAATCTGAAAAAATCAACCGATGTAAGAAAGCAAAGCCTATTAAAAACTGTTGCCAGACCTCTCTCTCCTCCAACAAAGACACTGCCCATATTGTTGAAGGCCCCAGAGAGTACCACCTGATAGTCCACAGTACATCCATCCCGTTCAAATGTACAAGACACTGATATCCCATCACTATCTGTAGGGAGCAAGAGAGCTAATAGTAACGCTTGTAAGGTAAGAACTCACTGAGGTAATCCAGAGGGCTGGGATGACAGTCTCCTATGGAGCAGTTCATCATAGGCCAGCACACAGCACATGACACAAAGAAACTACAGAGGTGGTCCTGTGTACAAATTTAGATGCGCATAGTTTATTCAATAGGTCAGTGGATCAGTGCATGTTACTTTGTAGATACAAGTCCTGTTGAAAGAGACAGAGTCCGTGTGACACAGACATCATTGCAGTCCACTTTCCGTCCTTCTCTCTGTCCTGACTGTGTGCACACACACTCTCTGTTGAGAAATCAACACAAGTTGTGTTTCTATCTCACAGCCCATTGCACACACACACAGAGATTTGTAAGGTGCTCTATCAACTCACTCCAGGGTACTGCTCATTGTAGCAGTGTCAGGGTCGCAGCCACAGTCATCTCCAGAGTACTGGTGACCAGAGAGAGGAGCTGTCCCACACTCACAGTCACAGTCACACTTCTCTCCATCACACACACACTCCCCCTACCTGGGTACGTAAAGTGTATATTACTGTGAAATACTTGACCTGAGAGTGCGTACTATAGACTGACAAGTATGTGATATGATGGCATTTGAATAATCATTGATCAAAAGCTTCACACAGTACTAATCAAAAAACATTATTTTTACTTCACATTCAACACTATTAATTTTTTTCGCAATGCCAATGTTCCCACATCAACATTAGGTAATTGGCAAGGCTTCACTTGACAATATTGGTGGGAGTGGTATATATGTCTAAGCTGCATTGCTCAAATGCTCAGAGTCTCCCATATTCTGCCAATTTCAGTTTACTTAGTAGACAAAGTGGACTGACTTCGATAACCAAAACACAGATGGCTGGGGCCTGCTCACCACTGCAGACTTGGTCTATATCTCTCCCAACACTCACCACTGCAGACTTGGTCTATATCTCGTCCCCGATCACTCACCACTGGCAGAGCTGGTCTGATATGCTCTCCCAACACTCACCACTGCAGACTTGTCTATATCTCTCCCAACACGTCACACTGTCAGACTTGTCTAATCTGCTCCCAACAACCACTGCACCACTGCAAGACTTGGTCTAGTACACGTCCCAACACATCCCGATCTGGCAGACGTTGGTCTATAATCTCTCCCGACAGGACAGGCTCCAGCACCAGAGAGGTTGTCCCAGCTGACATCGCTCTCTTCCTCACAGCTGCCACTATCATGAAAACACCCCCTATTGTGTCCTGCATGACAGACCACACAACACACATATATATATGCAGATATTGTGTAGGTTCTCGCGTGCATTACCTGGTATGTGTCACAACTTATACACTCTCTTGTACAGTTATCAACTTCCCGCGTTCTTCCTACTTCCTCCTCTTTCCCCTGCTCTGCGGACTTGTTACGCCTACGTCCCCAGCGAGAGATTAGCGGATTAGCTAGTTGGTATATTCAGGCCATGTTCGAGAGTATCCATTCCCGGGTAGCTTCCCTCTTTCTTACCCACAGGTCTTCCTTGCATATATAGCCATGTGATAATGTGAAGACATAGTGAAAGTTGTAGTTGCCACTGTACATGACTAGAGGGCGTTCCTCATCACACTCACCACTGTGCTCCATAAAAAGGCCCCTGGAAATCAAGAGATGGTCATACATTGTTTATTTACCTTGTAAGTCAAGTGTTCAGCAAGGCTAGCCTTAGCCATGAAAGCTTGCTATTACTCAGAACAGTCGCAAGCTCCACACACAAGAGAGCCTGTGCCATTGCAGACGTGTGGTTTGAAATCTGTAAATAATAGATAGTCCATACAGCACACTACTATGTATATAACATTACTATTTGTGATGTGCAGTTGCATTCACAGATAGGTACCAGGGTCAGCTCCACATTACCAATCCAGGCAGAGGTAGAAGTCGACTGGAGAGAAAGCAATCTATAAAACTTATTGTTACTGTTGGTTAGCCTAAAGCGGTTTACACATGGTGAAGGGGAGGAACCAGATTCAATGATAAGCTGTGCAGTTGTGTACGTAGATTGCTGACTGCGACGACACGTCGACAGTATTATGAACCCACTTACTAAAGACTTACAATTTTTCATGTCTTTCAAGACACCTGGTAAGCCATGGGTTACAATGTGGACGAGGATTGAACTCACGAGATTCAATTCTAAATGCCACATTGGCAAACATAAACCTCTCCCATCCGAGTCCTGTGTTTTAGTCCAGAAAAGCCTTTTAGAGAGAGCTCCATGTACTTGCAAGTTCTATGTACATTTAACCCTTCGGGAACAAAACCCTACGATACAAATCTAAAAACCGTATCATGGGGTTAAAATACTTGTCTGTGTGTCTGTACTACTAATTAAACAAAACCACATCTAGTACAGTTGGGAAAATAGAAAAAACCCCGTTAATTCATGAAAACTAACCACCCCGCGGTGCATCAATATCTGCACCAAAACAGGTTGCAAGTATTGTTTAGAGCGAAGAGAAGAACATAAAATGAAGATAGCTAGCCTAGCTGTTTACATCAGCATAATGGAAGCCAGAGGAGAATGGACGAGTTGCCAAAACCCCAGCTCAAAGTTATGTACAATGCCTAATTACGCATGCGCAATAATGACAATATGCGGGACAAAGGCATCTATGCGAAGCACCAAAATTGCTAGTTTTATTTCGAGGCAAATAATAGGCGGGATAGCACTGACATCTCCGTAGTCGAGAGAAACGCGCGTCGTCAAAGTAAAGAGTGTAAGTGAAAGTAAAATGTATGGCCGAACTAGCAGAGAAATGGTTGTATGCGATTTAGTAAGCATACAAAAATGGGACCCCTATTCTATAAAGACCGGTAGATAGTAAGTGGGAACTCACGGTAATAAGTATACATATACCAAGTCCGTGACTACTAGCTACATGTGTAGCTCTAGGGAGCTTTTTAAATGCATGTGTGTGTTTTGAAACCACAACTCACAGATTACAGTTGAGGACAGGGGCAATCCCAATTGTGAGTCCAGATACGCTGTCCACAACTATGTCTCTTGTTACACTCTGCAATATTGTGTGAGTGTGAGTATAACATATGTACACTTGGACTCAGAGGGCATGTACCTCATAGGCCCTTCTGATGACACTGACAATGTCAGCCGAGTCCTCAGCTATGGTCTGAACAAAAGCCCTGGACCTGCCAATCTCCTTAGCCAGCTCCTGCAGTTACCATAACATATAACAATAGCGGTGGATCAGATCTCCTCTAATCAAGACACCAGTGGGTCAGAAGACAAAGGGTCCATAATAGGAGGTATCCCTTTGCAAAAACTGTTCTTGGGGAATGAAAAGGTGTTCTTAACCCTTTGGATGCCATGGGTATCTGCTTAAATAAGCAGAAGTTGATGTGCAACATAGTATTATAGACCCATATACATTCTTATGGGTGTATGGAGGCTCTCGACATACATATCATGTCCGAGAGGTGCGAGGTGCCTTACCCTTCTCTAAGGAAACCTCTAAAATGGGGATAGAAAAGGTGTTCTTATTAGAGAGGTGTCCTCATTTTAGTGGTGTTCTTAGAGAGGGGTTCTACTCTATATTTGCACTAACCCTGTATACATCATCGTCTGTCACTGTCCGGTTTTCAACGACATCTTTTGCCACTGCAAATATAGTGATGATGTCGTTTTCTATCAACTTCTCCCGTACTTGATAGATGGAGGGAAAATCCTGCAATTAGGTGAAAAAGAAAATACAGTCCAGTTCATTACACTCTCACTCAGTATGTAGGAGCAGACTGGGGTAATTAAACCACCAATGACGCCCAAACTCCAAATATGCATGTCTCCGAGACTCTTTTTACTGTGATTAAAGACTGCTTGATTTGCTTCGCACTTCCAATTGGCCAATGTCGTGGTCTAACATATGATGGGGCCTCCAATATGAGTGGGCATTTGGTTGGGGTCTCAGCCCGCATACAGCAGTGTGAAGAAACTGCTGTGTTTGTCCACTGCCTTGCCTACTGCACCAATCTATGTCTTCAAACACTGGTAGGCATGTGTCCGTGATGCTCTAGATCTGGCGATGGGCCTAACTCAGTTAGTCAGGTTCTCTCCGAAGAGAAGTAGTCTGTTTTAAACACTCCAAGCGCAAGTTTCATCCAGCATGCCTACCTTGAAACCTCTGTCCTACCAGATGGACTGTTAGGACCAGGGCCTTTGATGCTATTTTGACCAACTATCATTTGCTTCAAGATGCACTAGATTTTAATTTAGCAGGGAACAGATGAGTATGCATCGAAAGCCACAGGGTTTCTAACATTAATGGAAAGATGTAGCACATACTTTGGGCTAATGGTGTCACATCTCATTTTTTCATCCCTGTTGCTGCAGCCTTAGAACGGGTATAATACTTCTTGCCTCAGTACAAGGTTCGTTTAATGAAACAGTTCTTCCCAGCTTGATATGTATAGTAAAGATGTGGACAGTCGCCGCCTTGTATTACAGTTACAGATGCTCCCAGATCTTGTGCGTACATACAATGACTTGAACCCTAATCTAAGACGCCTTTACCTCACACACACACACACACACACACATTAATACGTATATTTCAACAATCAGCTGTCACAATAGTATCCACATCCTGTGCCAAAACCACTACTTATTAATATTCATAACTAGCTAGACTATATATACAACCAGCACTACTGCTTAGTTACAAGCCAGAGAGAAAGTCAAGAGAGGAAAAGGTGAGCGAGATATACAGTATAAAACATAGACACTAACGTAAGTATACATTTTATGCCGGACTCCCTGCTGGGGAGTGGTCCCGCCTATTCCAGAGTTGACCTCGGGTCGGAAAGTTAGAGGGACCGAAACCCGTTGTCATACAATGACGGAAATAGGTACTTCCCTGATGACCGGCCGAATGCATACCATACATATAGTGACACTCCTGCGCACGTGGGTGTGGGCGTAGTAAGTTCCTAGGCTAAGAATGTTGGGTTGCTGCCCGGGCGATGCGGACAAAAGCCCTCCCAGCCCTGCTTCTCCCCCCCTTTCTCCTTAACCCTTCTCCCTTTTCTCTCTCTTCACAAAGCACACAAACACACCATTTTTACACTTGTGAGTATCACTGGAGTAAAATACATCACCCAGGACCACAGAGTAACATACTCACTTCCCCCTTAGGAAATTCTATATATACCTATGACATCACAACTCCCTATAAATACCCCACTGTGCATTAGTAGAACCATAGGATTGCAAGTCCCACAGAGAGCTTAAGGTATGTGATTGTAACTACTTCAATACAGTACTGTAAATGGGATAAGAGTCTGTGACATTGGATGTGTGGGGAGAGTTGGCTAGCCACAAAAGATCTTTAACCCACCGTCCCCAGTTCTCAAGGCTGGGCATCATTGTCCTACTCTTGTGTTTGTATACATAGAACATACACACACATACTGTTCCGCTCTCCATGTTCCCTATTACTTCCATAACATAGGCGCCCTTACAAATATACAATATAGCACAGAAACTATAGAGTAGAATAATAGCTCAATATTGCCCAATATAAGTCCCCAAGTAGAGTAGAAGTGAGTCAACGGTTAATGATGCATACACTTGGACCACTAGGCAGCCACACGCGGTGAGGTTGGCACACGCCTCCCACAATCTTGGACTATCTTCCTTTTCTTCCCCCAATACCCAACACACACACACACACACTGTCTCCATAACTTGAACACTGCTGCTTTTCAGTATAATTATTAGTTAGTGAATGGTAACCTTAAGGGTCTCTCTAACACAAAGAATATGTGCCAACACTCTGCAAACAGACTATAACCTGTTCAGGACTTTTAAAGTACTCATAGAATCCTTCCTTATTCATCTGCAGATGACACTCTCCATCATTTATGTTCACCAGTCCAGCCACCTGGATAGACAGTAAGGACCTTGTAAGCACCTGTATCATCCTTTCATCCATACATTGTATGGATAGCAACCCAACAGTATTGCTTGTAGGGTGCTATCAGTTCTGCCTGGTAGGTTACATGCTCAGAAATATGGCCACCATTGAGTGGTGGTTTGTCCTAGGTATATTTCCAAGTACATATTATACCCTTCCATCCAGAGCAGTCTTGAATCCAGCATCAGTCAGGACCATGACTATCCTCAGACTGCCATTCCTCCATCCAACCTCCTGAGGAAATAGGAAGACACCGTGACAGGCAAAACGACTTTACTGACAGTGGACATTTGTTCGCACAGCTAAATATGGACACATTAGAAAAGAGAGGTGGTGCAGCATCCAATGGGTACAATTAGTATATAGCTATGTAGCTAATATTCGATCTCTCAGTAGTAGTAGTATATATACAGTGAGTAGCTATGTAGGTAATATTTGATCTCTCCGTAGTAGCTATGTAGCTAATATTCGATCTCTCAGTAGTAGTAGCATATATACAGTGAGTAGCTATGTAGGTAATATTTTATCTCTCAGTAGTAGTATGTAGGTAATATTCGATCTCTCAGTAGTAGTAGTATATATACAGTGAGTAGCTATGTAGGTAATATTCGATCTCTCAGTAGTAGTAGCATATATACAGTGAGTAGCTATGTAGGTAATATTTTATCTCTCAGTAGTAGTATGTAGGTAATATTCGATCTCTCAGTAGTAGTAGTATGAGTAGCTATGTAGCTAATAATTATTCGATCTCCCGTATCTGGCAGTGTGCTTGCACCTTAACAATGCATGCATTATTTGTCAAACCTTTTCATATCTGGCACATACAGTGATGATGAAAACACTATTCTGTGTTGCAAAGAAAGAGCAAGAGGTGTATATCTACCGGTGAAATACTGATGTCTGTCTCCCCTCAAAGACTCCCTGACTACAGTGGAACCTCTTTTAGCGGACACTCCTAATAGCGCGACACCTACAGTATATATAATGGACAGGGACCAACTACTTTTCCCATAGATACTGTATATATATACTTTATAAACTTCCGAACAACGGACACTTTTCCGGTACCGAAGCACTCGCTAACACCTCTTTATAGCGGATACTCTTACTAGCACACACCTACCTTAGATACGTACTAGTCCTGCCCACGTCTGTATGAGCGCAAGTTCACAACTAGCGAAGAGTCTGCTGTGAGACTAAAACAATGGCATCACAACCTCTGAATAAGGGACAGCGGCCTGTGTACCAAGGTGTCCCTCATTAAGAGGTTCCACTGTGTCCCCTTCTACCAGCGACTCCTTGCAGTTCCCGCGATGGGATCTGAGACTTGGACCGTTGAATGTTATACCTATAGCATGATGACAAATTTAAGCAATAGTTTTCGTCATTCTTTCAACCTATGGAACTGAAAGGGAGAGGAAGCAGTCGCTGTGGTTTTTTGGGGGCTCCATAACCCTTTTTCCATACTTCTGTATACAGCCATAAATAAAACGTGATGTTTACAATAACTCACGTTCAGACAGACAACTGACTGCAGAAGAGCCTCCAGAGTGGCCTCAGGAGCATCCAGATTACCTCTGATTGTCACATTCTCCAGAACTGCCTACAAACAACTCGTAATGACATAGGCCAGAAAATCACATAATTTTAAGGACCTCTTCTTTGCGAAGTTCTCAGTATTTTTGCAAACTGCAGGATAGTGTTGCTGTACTCAGTAAGCCACATTTATGCCATGAATCATGGGGTGTAAACACAAGGTAAATGCATTACTGCTCTAGCTCCTAGACTAGTGGTGTATATACCACGTAGTGGATAGCATGTTGGAGTCGACACATGCCATTCGTTGTGACTTCTTGTGCCTTCAAGATACACAGAGCAAGCGGACGTTGGCCTATGCTAGTTAGCATAATTAGGTTTTCACGCCACAAGTTTAGAACGCAGTATTATTACGAAACTTGCCATTTTAAAAATCAAGCCAGTGTAGCGTTGAACCTTTTGGTATCGCTTTTTGTAGTCTCGTTGCGCGTAGTGGCAGAAACCCGTCACTCACCAGGTGAATTCCAGATGACGTAATAATAATAGCAAAACTTTTTTGTATATTATAAGAATAGTACAGTTCTTTTCACAAACATATTTTGTGAAGCACACAAACTACTACATCTTTATAATTATTGTAACATTCACTCCATTTTGTCAACACAAAAAAGGAAATTCCTGGACCCTGGGGCTTGGGACTCACTCTGAGCTGACCACTGTCATTGGTCAGTGGGAGATGGTGTCTGTAGACATAGGTTGGCCCACATGAGACTCTCCCATTAGCACACACTACCCTGTGGACAAAACATTAGTGACTGCTTTTGTCATGAGTATAGTACAGAGCTGAACCCAATAAAGTCCATTTGTTTATTGTCTGTAATCTAACCACTTTCATTTAGGACTGAATAGCACGAGGCATGCATGAAAAAAATAAGAATCCTTCACTCTAACAGGGGCAAGTGTTTTGCAAGTTGAAGGGGAGGCAAATGACGACCGACAAAAAGTCAAAAAATGGTGACATACATATTGTTTCCCAGGTGTCTGGTCAGGTAGTCAGAGCCATTCTGTAGTGTGGAGGCAAAAGGGGTAGGCAATCTTGTCAACAAACGAGCCAAATCCGAGAGTAAACTGTGATGAGAGACGCTCCAGTTCGTCAGCTGCACGAACACATCATCACTCAATGTGTCATTGTGTACAGCATTAGTGAAAATTACACCACTCACTGATGGAGTTAGAGAGGTCCTTGAGACTGTCCAGGTCAGAGGCTTGAGATCCAGAGAGGTCCATGAGGAAGTACATGTCCAGAGGATAGTTCCTGGCTGGCTTGACTGACAGAGTGAATGTCTGAGGCTCTCCTGTACAGTTATTTTACACATACATGCATGCGCTACTCCAAAATAATAATCTGATCATCTCTTAAAGGGCTAGGCACTAGCGGTAAAGATAGTATATAATACACTTGACCCCGCTTTTTTAAGGTTATGTGTATAGCTGATGTATTATACCTGTTCTGAGATTAAGACGAATTGCTTGTGGCGATATCTGAACTGTTTCTCCAAATTGATCCTGCAGACACAAAACAATTTGTAGGAGCAAGGATGAAGCTATAGAGCTCTGGAGAGTACATGCCCACACATAATAAGCTACAACTCAGATAATGTATGAGTCACTTGTAAAGCATTTGACTTCGGAGAATGTAGGGAGAGGAGTTTTGATAATATGTTATGCTAGGTAGTTTAGGCTCCAAGAGCTTTCCGGCTTCGTATAACTAGAGAAATGAGTCTGTGAGTTACTGATGGTGTATGTGAAGGCTCATTCATATGGAGTGTGTAGGGTTTTTTTGTATGGCTATCACATGATGTCTATATGTACCCCATTAGGGTGTCTACCACTGCTCTAAAGTTTGCCAATGCTCACATGCTAATTATGGTAGTGTAAATATTGGAGGTGTCATGTGTTCAACACACAAGACCTCGAAACACCCAATCGCTAAAAACACACACAACCAACTCACGTCTCTGAGTATCTCTGGATGGGTGGCCACTGAGTCTTCAGGCTCTGAGAGACAGTCAGCTGTCTGGTAACTGGTGCATCTGGGACCTGAGAATGGCTATGGGGGAGAGGAGATGGGGATGACAATAATATAATAAAGCCATGTTATGGATAAGTCGTTACTTTAGACTCACAGGAGGGTCAGGACACCAGACACAGCCAATTCCATTTGCTATACACTCATCACATGACTCATACTGATTGCAAATGTCTGCTTGGCCATTACCTGAGGTAAAACACACTCTGCTTATAAATGTTTCAGCAAACCTAGCTAAAAAGGTAGTTCTTGCGCGCAAAGCAAGCTTAACCACCTCCAACCAATAGCAACCTCGAACTAAAATCAGTGCTATAGGAACCACTGGTTAGCAGTTGTCTATGTCGAAGAAATGTGTTGTAGCCAATGGTCTGTATATAGGTGTCTCTAAACACACATTGTATAGGGAAAGGTATATACCTATTATGCACAATCAACTGGAGAAACCAACTTATCCCCTAACACCGAAAGTAGAAAGATAGGGAAAATCATAGTAGCTACTTCACTAATGGTTCAACATGATGGGCAATAAGTGTAGCAGTAAAAAGACAAAGCCACGTCGTAATTACAGAGTATGGCAGCTTTGCCGTGAGACATTCCAGACCTATTTCCACGTTCATTCTCTCTCTTAGAAAAGCAAAAGCAGAAAATCTCACTCACAGTTATAATCAGAAGTCCCTAGCATAATCACCAAGAGTAGGAACATGGTTGCTCTCTCGACACGGCTCACACGGAATATGTGCATATTGGCGAGCGGAAGTAGTCTGTCAACGGACCGATTTTCTATCCTGCACATACCGTAACGTTGTGCCACGGTATATACTCCATACAGCTGGCGGGAGGAACAGCGGAGGAGCGGGAGCTCACCAATTACGGCTGTATATCCGCAGTTGCGCCGCTCCAGCTCGCCATAATTAGCTGGGCAAGAAGCAAACGGAAGTGGCGGTAGAACGACAAAGTCACTCGCATGAAGGGCACTTTTGGCGGAAGCGAGCAAACAATGACTGTATATGCACGAGCCATCCTAGCCTATTTACATATTGCACCTTGGTACCGCTAAGTTTGGAAAGAGGTATATACAGCCTCGGTCAGGCACCGAAGAGCGCAGCGAATGCTGCGGAATAGATTCTCCCGTTGGCTAGGATAGTGAGCGCGAAATCCGAACGCATGCGCAGTTGGACGACGTACGAATGGCCACTGAGAAACCAATTTATCCCCTAATAATCCACTATGTGGCCACTACTAAATAGTCTTTCTTTATTATATTATGTGCATGCAGGCATGATCATTCTTGCCGTGTGTCGTTAGCGTGACGCATTCTCCACTGACGTCTAGCTATATAGACACATTAATTGATTACTAGTTTGTTTTGCCCGGGTTAGTGTGTGGTCATTTCTTAGTTTTCTACGGTCCAAACTGCTCTATTGCTTCGCAGCTGAAGATTTCCACGATACATGAATGGCATAACAGGAAAAATACTCTTACAACTGCTAATTGACACACCAATTTGTTTCATGACATTGGGGTGGTCAAATCTTGCCATGATCTGACTCTCTGGACATGGTCCAAGAACGTGTCTTTACACTCACGCTGACCTCCATAGCAGGCACTGTTCAAGGAATATTAATTTTGATGTTATCTGACTAAATAAATAGAATTCATTCACTAGGCAATTTATGTTAGACAATTGCCTGATAATCCAAGCATGCAAGGTAATACTCAGAGGCTGCCTGTGTGTTTTTCATCCTTTTGGCACCACAGGCTACAGGGAAGACTGAGAGGACCTATTGTACTACAAGTGTCACTGGATTGTCGTTAGGCATGCTATGAGACATGAGCACAACGAGTCTCAGGTGGCATGAGGTTCACGGATTAGCTAGTTGCTACAGTTACAGAATGTTTACCGTCAACTTCATTTCATTAAGTAGCTACAATTTTGTATAGGACAGTACAGCAAGAGCGTTGATATTGATGTGTTCGTTTTGTTCTAATCATACAAAACTGCTGGTCTCGGTTAACCCTTGGACGCCCAATAAATTCTTATGGACTCCGGACACATGTATATGTGTCCGCGGCTGGTTAGCTAATTGTTCAGACATTAAAATGTCCCTTGTAGGGTATATATACAATGCAAGAAATTGGTATGTAGTATATACACACTTTACTGGTATCAGATGACCCTCATGTTTTTTGTAAGTCTCGTCCCTTATGACCAAATGTAACCCCATGCTCAATACTTAAACGATTGTAGTATCATAAATACAACAAAAAACAAAACTGTTTTGCCTGGGAACAAGGGCTAAGTCTTGTTGTTGTTATACACATTAGGGTAGCTATAAAGAACAACCCTGCTAAGCCTGCATATTCACAGCTTATTTTATAGGCCGTCAACAATTCTTGCTGCGTAAGAGACAAACACTATTATGTAATAGCTAATGTACGGAAGTCAGTGCTGTGCGCGTAATAATGGTATATACGAGGGGCGTGGTCGAGATAGTCATACAGCACGAGGCGCAGCCGAGTTGCTGTATGATCTTTCGTTATCACGCGCACAGCACGTGCTTCCGTACATTAAGTAATTTATTGTATGCGTGGGCGATTCAAAAGGCGGCGACCAGGAAAACCGGCGTTCAGAACGGAAGAGAGGACGAGAAGCTCGCGGAGCACCCTTCCAGCAGCGGTTTGTGTCACCGTCTGAGTCGAACTCCGTCTACGAAAGACCGCCGAGGGCGTCATTTCCGCAAAGCGTACGCTAGTCCGCGGATAAGGCGGCGGCCAAGAAAATCTTTTTTTGCAAGTTCAGAAGGACTAGAAGCTCGCGGAGCGCCCTTCCAGCCGCTGTTTGTGTCACCGTCTGAGTCGACCTCCGTCTACGAAAGGCGTCATTCCCGCAAAGCGTATATACGTTAGTCCGCGGATATAGTACAGTATAGTACAGTTCCGCGCGATATAGTACAGTTCATTCAAAAACCGTTCTGTACGATGAATATAGTACTGGCGGCGCCTTTGATTCGCCCACGCAAAATACAATAAAATTTAATTATAATATTGTGTACATCTAGGCTGGCTTCGTCGATATCTGCATACACCCAGTTGATGTCTTTCAGTTTCCTGAGAGCATCTCTGAGTGCACAGATATCGATGAGACAGTTCGCTTTAGGCAAAAAATCTATACAGGTTTATCCCGATTTATTTTCTTTTTCTTGTTCTCTGTACACACTTCCTCCACTAAATTCTGAAATCTAGTAATTTCATCTCTCTCTCTTGCCTTGTACCAGCGTATGACCAAGCCCAGTAGAGCAGATGACACCACTGCCAATACTAGTGTGCTCAGGTAGAACCAGATACCACATGTACTGGTGTTCAATGTGTCAAACCATCTTTGACTCCACGCGAAATGAAAAATTTTTCCCATGATAGCATGCACAGCTTCTAGAGTTAAGAAAGCTCCCATCAGTAAATGTTCATTGTGTATGGTGCTTGAGCACACACAAATTCGACATTCTTCGGATTTCACTTGAATAAAAGCAGTAAGTCCAAGAATACAGTTGAAAGGGATGCCAATCATTGCTAGTTCAGAGTTACTTTCGATAAGACCCGTTATACAGATAGCAGTGCCATTTGTGGGGGTTTGCTGTGTAGACTCTGCTATCATGCCATACACTGAGAAAAGATGACGCGCAGCTCCCCTTCCAGCAGACTGGAGAATGCTGGGACTCGGTTTCTCAGACATGGGTAGATGAGTAGCTCATACAGTGGAATGAAAACAGATTTAATTGAAGAAGGTGTGGAGATAAAGTGTATCAAAAACATAACTTGGGCAGTGGGTTTCAGGGGGTTCTTATGGGAGATGTTTCCATAGTTGAGGCAGCAATGAAACCTGGTGAACGATGGAGTGTTAAAAATTAAAAATAGAAATTCCCCAATGACAGCTACCCCCCCCACCCCCCCAAAATACACAAAAAAAAAAAAACAAACAACCCAAAACAACAAAAAAAACCAAAGGGACCACAAAAAACACAAAAACAAAAAAAAAAAAAACCCAAACATACACCAAAAAAAACAACAAAACATATAAAAAAACAAAAAAACTAGAAAATACCTCAAACACAACCAACACAAAAAAACACCAAAAAAACAAAACACGAACCCCAAAAAAAAAACAAAAAAAAATCAAAACAAAACAAAACAACCACCACAAAAAAAACACACCAACCAAAAAAAAAAAAACAAACATAACCACAACACACAAAGGCTTAAATACCACCCACCCACCAAAACAACCACATCCTGACCACACACAAATCCCACACAACCAACCCCACAACCCAATTACCACACCCCCCCAACCACCAACCCCACCACAACCCACCCCCCCCCCACCCACCCCCACACCCACCCCCACCAAAAATAAACAAAAAAAACACAACTCTCCAGAGGTCTTAACATCCTCCACTTGCTCTGTGGTGAAAGGTCCACCATATTTGACTTGCCATAGTCCAGTCTTGTGGCCGTTCATTATCACAGTATGTGAAGGCACTTCTCTGAACTGGATACTTGTGCTTTGCTGCATATTTCAAGACTTTGAAATAAGACTCACTGGATTGACAGTCACTGGCTCTTTCACCAGTTTGTGGTGGAAATGAAAGTCCAAAATGAGTCCCACAGAGAGCAGTAGGACTGGCAAAAGTGACATTGTTGTGATAGTTACTTGTTTTTGCAAATGTAAGCATTGATAAAAGACGGTGCCTAAAATGTAGTTATTGAAAATGGAACTGAAGTATGTCCAAACCAGCCATTGTATAAAGGCAGAAATTGTGCTGGATCCACCAGTAATCTGGTCCATTGCTAGGGAACTGCACTTGCACTAAACACTCCTGTAAGCCAAAACTGAGGAATACACGAGCAAGAGCTCGAGATTGTAGGTTGTTGTCTCTGACACAGGTAGTTCTCCCTGCATATTGAGACGACTGAACCAACAATGGAGGCCAGCCACATTGCCTGAGTGTGAGCAGACGAGTTTATATTTGCCCACAAACACCCCTGCTAGAAGACCTATGACAGGGAGTGACATACAAGATAGTATCACAATTCCTACTGGTACCTTCCAGTGCTTCATCCAAAGAAGAGAAAAGCTATCTTCATCTTCTCCTTTCTCCATGTACATTAATTGTACTGAGAACCAGACTGAACACTGAATGATGAAGTGCCACGCAAGGATAAGTAAGAGGCTACTTGAGCCAATGCCACGAAATTTCAACTTCATAAACCACCTCTTAAATTCATAATTCTGGACGTTTGATGCTGATTCTGCCAATGGATTGTCCAAAAAGAACAGGATTCTTTCAGGTTGATGATTCTTTTGCCACCGGAACTGGTTGCCATTATTATTTGTCAAGGAAACTAACACACATTATGTAGCCACTGATATGCTACTGAACTTTACACCAATGAATGCACATATGCTTCTTTAGTTTCAAAACACGTATTCATATCTCTGCTATACACACGAGTGTTCCTAAAAAGCATTATATCGAAACTTAGATGAGAGCATACAGTATTTCTGGTCAACACTTTTCTTAACGTATTTTTTGGGAAAATCCTGTCTATAGCAGAGAGATGAACACATGTTTTGAAACTTGAAAAGCAGCATGTTCTACAGCAATGAATGCACGTACTGCTTTTAGTATAAAATTCATCTCACTGCTAGCTATACACAGGAATTTCCTAAAGAAGCGTTTGATATGTTAGATGCATAAGGTATTTCTGGTAACACTTTTTATCATGATTCTTTGA